GAAAACGAAGTCAACCCACTTTAATATATGACTGCTAAAAGGAAATGGTAATTCTCTAACAAGCTTCGATTAGTATTGTCGAATAAATGAGGAGACAAACATGAACATCCTGATAACTTAATAAGTAAAAGTTAGGCAATGATTAAATCAATGGATTGACTACTTTATTTACTTTTCGTATGTAAGTAGAGGTTCGAGACTAGCAGTAAATCAGTAATATGAGATGTATTAACCCTAATTCGTTTAAGGTGATAAGGAACTGACAATAGAATTTTCCCACAATAATGAGTAGTGCTGACGTTTCCATTGAATTTAGCATAGCTTTACTTTAACAAAAGTTGTTCTCATCTAGAGTGGACTGCAGTTTTGACCTGCCAAAGGTCTTATCAACACTCCCAGCGGGAGTAGAATCGTGATAGTGCAGAATGTGAGCTTGACACGCTAACCACTGGGTCATATTGTACCAAGTGCACTTGGGTGACAGGGCGGATGTCAATGTCAAGAAAAGCAAAATATGAGATTTACTGGTAGTCTCGAAACTCAACTTACATACGAAAAATAAGTAATGTAGTCGATTGTCATAGCAAAAATACGTTTGACGAAGATGACGTGGCCTTTAGTGTGGTCGAAGTCTCCTTACGATGTATAGAAGTTGTTTGACCTTGTTTTCGCAACTTGTTCATATTGATAGAAAGACTTACAGGAACCCACCTAGTCCGGAGTCCATAGTATCCTATATCTACCTATCAAGTCTTCACTAACACAATTTTTAATTGCTTATTTAAATGTGGTATGGTGTGCCCTTTTGAGCGGCTTTAATGAGAATTCTCCACACTCCACTCTTGCTTTCTCATCCCCCATTCCCCATCACCCTTGTGCTGGGAATTTTGATACTGCTTGCCTTGATTAGGTTCAATGTTGAACCACAACATTTGTAGGTTGGCACACAAGAGACTAGGGCATAGGAAATTATAGACTTGGTATTAGTGATAGAAACAGGATAGACGAGGCGGAGAATAGAGCTAGTGGTCTGACCGTGGGCCTGTTTTAAGATAAACGTGGTCCATGAAGCAAAGGCTTGATCATGAGTATTACTCAGCGGCTTTAGCCTCAAGTTAGTGTCCCAGACGCCGAGTATGGGAAATAATGCCTCAGGTAGCTCAGATGGGGTGGCAGGGGTCGAGTGAAATACTTGAACTAGGAGATGGATCCTACAGAGCAGGAAGGAGACTCTGATAAGACACATGGAAGGAGGACTGCGTAAGTATATGGCAAACTTTGATCAAAATTCCCAGCACAAGGGTGAAGGGGTATGGGGGGATGAGAAAGCCAGAGTGGAGTGTGAAGAATTCTCAGGAAAGACGCTCAAAAGGGCACACCATACCAGACTAAAATAAGAAATTAAAAATAGTGATAGTGAAGACGTAATACGAGGATATAGGATTGGTGATTAATCAAGGGCGGAAGGAGAGATACCACTATTGTTTAGCATACAATTGATCAAAGGATCGGCTTCACTTGTCTCTTTGACGAGTTGTAGTGTGGTGCTAAGGGTGACATGACTTACTGACGAAGCCGACGAAAAGTCTGGAAATTTACGACGTTCACAGTCCGACTGGAAATTATCATGCATACTATGGACTCCGAACTAAGTGGATTCCTCTAAATGTTCCTACAAATATGACCAAGTTGCGAAAGCAGGGTCACATAACTTCTATACAACGAAATCAGACTGTGACCACACAAAATGCCACACCATCTTGATCTTGATACGTTCAATTTGTACACCTACCAAATCCTGAACACACATGAAAGTAATATATATGTTCAGTTAAGACTATTTCGACTTAAAATGTCTAAAAGAACCGAGAACCGGTCTAGTAGAAACGAGATACGAAACAAATGAACGAAGATGACCAAACCTGAAGATCTGATGATGACGGGAGCTCGACTGCTGATGGGTTTGGAACTGGAGGATGAGAAACAAGAGGGCAAGCCGATTTATTCACTGACGTTAATACGGCCCCGAAGACGGAGGCTCTGCTAGAGACTGATGTGAAATTCTGGCCATTATCAGCCCCGATCGGGCCATTGTTCGAATCGAATACAAGTCGAGGCCGTCCAGCGCCAGGTCCATGACTAGGCCCTGTTGTTTCACTTATCGCAGACATCCCCTGCTCAAAAACGAGTGGTTTGGATAAGTAGCGCAGCCTAATAACGGGTGAAGAAGTCTTCTCGATACAGTCTTTGAGAAAAGAAAGAATATAAAGAGAGCCATTAGAATATACGGTCACAATTAAAGAAAAAATAAGGTAAATGTGCAACAAGGTAACTTCCTTTTAGAGTAAAATGGAAGATTCATGTGAAAATCAGAGTTAAATTGCAAACAGGTGAGCAGTGGGTCTAGAGGGCTTTCAAAAATTCCAGAGTATGGACAACAAGAAATCACGTATGATTTCAGACTTAATAATAAAAAGACACGACACTAAGTTGCTTAGGTATGGGACTAGAAGATAAGGTAGGTAAAAGCAAATTCGCCTTGGGGTTTCCGAGGTGACAAAACCTACTGGTAAATACGACGATCAGCATAAGATGGTGAATTTATCCTTGTTTCCTCTTGATCCCGAAAAAAAGACTGCAATTTTTTCTTCATAATGAATCTTGACACATTACGAATTAACACACAGAAACAGGGTTGTGAGGATACGCATGACCTTCGAACTTAATTAACAATTGGTCCTTCAGATGGACAAAGGAGGAGCGACAGTAATAATGGTCAGAAAACAATATGTCGAGAAGACGAAATGTATACTGCGAAACAGGACTACGCATCGTGTACTAAAGAGGGATCCAAATATGAAGAACTTTACGTGACATTGTAAGATAAGCATAGAAACGACAAAATTGACGCATGGAGGAAAAATTCAATCATAAGAAAGGAAGCACGACCACCAACAGCCTAGGGATTACTGAAGATGCACAAAGAGTAGCGAATAAGGCTGATAGTCAACAACAAGTATGGAACACCACACAGACAGGCAAAGTTGATATGTCTAAAACTGAAGAAAGTAAATGACAGATTATGAAACATGATGAAGCATTCATATGAATTTTCTTAAAGGATCAAAATCAGAACAATAGAAGAAGCAGAGTTATTGGTTGGTTTTGATGTACAATCTATGTACACAAATATCTATGAAGAAAAGGCGCTAATGGCCTGATGGATATCTTGGACCGAGAAGAGGAAGGTCCTGGAAGCAGAAAGGATCAGGAGAGAATCGTTAACATGACAAATCAACTTGCCAATAAAGAATATCTACTTCACATCCAACGAAAACACCCGTAAACAAGTATTTGGACCTCTATAGGTTTGCCGCTCTCACCTAAATTGACAAATGTATACACAAATAAATTAGAAGAGTCCCAAGACGTCACCGCTGCAACCAAGAGTGCGCACGCGGTATCTGGATAACTACCTTGTATATTGGTTAAATGGAAGGGCAAAATTGGAGGATTTTCAGAAGCTTATAAACAAGACCGAGGGAAGAATCAAGTTCATAATGGAAGTAGAGGAAGAGGGGCGTTTACCTTGCCTAGGTGTTGAAGCCATTCACCCTACTGGGACACTCAAGAGAAAATTGTTCAGAAAGAAGTAATATAACTTAATAATACTCAATTTAGAGTCATTACAACTACAGATTAAAGATAGGACTACTGAGGAGCATGAAGATCAAAAGCCTACGATTAAGGGACGTGGAATTCTGGGATGAAGAATTGAACAAATTGACTCGGATATCCCTCGGCAACGGTTACCCAAGCAAAGTATTACAAAGAAACATACGGGATTCGAAAAGGCGATGGCAAAGCGGGGAGTATGAGAGAGCAGTAAGGACGAAGAAAGACTCGCAAAAGTGGATATGCTTACCTTCCTTAGAAGTAACGCAAAAACAATGCCCAATATTAAAAAAATGGAATATTTAGGTGATAACGAAGAAAAAAAACAACACTTCTCAAGTCTACCCACTTAATAGGAGATACACAAATTGGATTGCTCAGGAATTTACTGCGTAGTATGTGGCGCCTGCGAGCAGAAATATATTAGTGAAACAGGGAGAAAAATCACCATACGGATGAAGGAACATCAAAGGCCCTACAGGAAAAAAAATATAGAAAGATCAGAAATAGCAGGACATGGTGTACAGACGGACATGACATCAATTGAAAGGCAACAGAAAGAAGGGCCTCATATGATGCAACCACAAGGAAACGTAAGATGAAGGAAGCTATTGACATCTATAGAAAGAAAAACTCTACTGAACAGGAGATTGAAAGGAGACGAAGTTATCAATAACTTTGCCTATTGCTTAAGCAAACTGAGAGAAAACGAGGAGACGAAGAGACAAGCAAAAGGTGAAGTCTGGATCAAGGATTTATAATCAATTAGAAAAAAAAGATCTCAACGAAGAAGTGAGAGAGAAAGTTTCGGAAATCAAGCGAAGACGTTTTCAGCGATTGTAGTCTTTTCGAAGAAATAACTGCAACTTTGGGGGCCTAAGAGCCACGTGATAGGGATACGGATGATCACAACCGTCACATAAATTCAATATTATGGCTAAATTGACAAGAAACCCACTCGACATGCAGAATACGATCAGATATAGACCCTAACAGTTTGCTCAGGCTACATGGGTTTAGTCAAGGAGATGAAAAGTGAAGGTAATGCCTAATATCTCCAGGCCTGGGAATGAGAGCCTAGGCGCTCTGTAGCTGAGGCGACATTGTACGTACTAGTGAAAGCTTGAGAAATAACCCCATGAGTAAAATGTACGCCGAGACTGGAACCGAGTGAAATCAGTCAATCAGTAAGACAAGAAATAGATCTACTGGCATATGACGGAGATCCGGATAGGAGGCCCGAGTCGGATCTGCAAATCGTGATGAAGTAGCGGCAAAGCAAACAACAAATGTGATCACGCCACACTAAACTCGTTAAAAAGGGTACACCTCTTAAGGAGTGAACTAGAAACAAATCAAAAGTTATGATCGAAGGTATGAAGACCAAGATGGTGTGGCCTTTTGTGTGACCACAGTCTCCTTTTGTTGTATAGAAGTTGTTTGATCTTGTTGTCTCAACTAGGTCATATTGGTTGGAAGACTTATAGGAACGCACCTAGTCCGGAGTCCATTGTATGCATCATCATTTCCAGAGTAGGACCGTGGACCTGGTACATTAACAGACATTTCGCCGGCATCGTCAGTGAGTCTTGCCATTCGTAGCATCATATTACAACTCGTCAAAGAGACAAGTGAAGCCCATCCTTTGACCAAACGTGTGCTAAACAGTTATATCTCCCTTACTGCCCTAGCCTATTCACATTTTCTATATTCTCCTATCATGCCTTCCCTGTCACAATTTTTACCGTGCTTATTTTTAATGTAGTGTCGTGTGCTCCTTAGAGCGGCATTCATAAAAACCCTTCACACTCCACACTGTCGTTATCACCCCGTTCACCCTTGTGCTGGGAATGTTGACCAGAGTCTGCAATAGTGTTACATAGTCCTTCCTTGGGTCCTATCAAAGTCTTCCTCTTGCCCCGTCGAATCCGTCTCCTATCTCCCTGGTACATGTATTTCACTCGACCCCTGCCCCCCCCCATCTGTGCTATTCGAGGCGTAATTTGTCGATCCGTTGCCCCAGGGCGACTGATTAGAGGCTAAAGCCTCAGAGTAAGTCTAATGGTCATGCCTTTGCTACATGGACCACGTCTCTTAAAAAACCTACTGTCAGCCAACTAGCTCCAATCGCCGCCTCGTCTATCCTGTCTCTATTCCTAATACCAAGTATATGACTTGCCATACCCTAGTCTCTTGTGTGCCAACCCCCAAATGTTGTGGTACTGCTGGCTTTGTTTAGGTTCAATGTTGAACCACAACGTTTGTGGGTTGGCACACAATGATACCACGAGAGTGGGATAAGAGGGTAGGGAGTAGATGGAGGGCCCGGGAAGGAGAGGAGTAATAGCACAACTGCTTCGGCAGAAGGTTAGTTAAGGAAGTGACTTCTCCTCTCTCTAACGTATTGTAGCTTGGTGCTGAGAATGGCAAGACTCACTGACGACGTAAACTACGATGCAGG